TGTGTGCTGAAGTAGGCAGAGGAATCCTGGGAAGCACTGACTAGGTCCCATCCTCTGTGTCAGCCCCCCGAGTCTCATGCTTACTTGGAGCAAATGTGACAGGCCCTGCTACCCATGCCCATCCTCCTCCCAGATGATGAGCACCTGAGTAACAGCAGCTCCAACTCTCCCAGGGACAGTGCCAAACCCTCCTAATAACTCAAGAGGAAGCCAACATGTTGAGTCTGCTTTGTCCTACACACAATGTCAACACCAGGCCTGAGAATGTCCCCAAGCTGTCAGGTCCCCAGCTAAGAAGACCCCATGGATATCATCCTTTATACTTACCCTGACATCCGGCCTGTCCAAACCAAACAGAGGCAAATGGGGTGGTGTGGCACACAGACTTTATTCTGACCGCCCCCACCTCCTGGGTCCAAGCCCATATCCTGACAACAGAATGGGCTCACTCAGCACTTAGAAAGACCCTCTTGTGTGCAGTGTTGGTGTAAGGATGCCAACGCCACTCCACATCTGCTGTGGCCTCCTGTTCCAGCGTGCCAAGGCGAATCATGTATACTGGTAGAGGGGAACAGAGACATTATCAACTATACAGCCAGCTTTTCCCCACCAACAGACCTGAGATAAAGTCCAAACTCACACTTGAGCTCAAAGCGAGGGCCAACCTCGGTCAGCTCCACATTGCGGTGGTTGGTCTTCCTGTACACATGGTGTCTGGGGCAAGGGAAGGCAGGGCAGGAGTGAGAGGAGGCAGGAGCAGCTATAGGTCAACAACCAATAGTATAGGGACACAAAGGTCAGGATACAATCCCAGAGCCCAGCCCATGGACACACCGGAAGGAGATGTAGTCATTCTGGTTTGCAAAGGTGATGACCCGATGGCTGTCTTCTTTGGGCACAGGGAACAGGTAACGAAGTATGTCAGAGACCTGGGGCAGAGGGAAGAAGATTGGGGAATGCCCAGCCTGGCATCGCCTGCCCCCAGCCCTAGTCCCATGATCCCAGACTCACCCGCTTGCCCAGACGGGAGGAGAAGCCATGAATGATGAGGTGAGGTTTGGCCTCTGACACAGTGCCCAGGTCAGGGATGTCATGCCGCATAAGCACATTGCATAGTGTGAAGTAAGCAGTGGGGCCAAAGGGCAGGTGACTGACAATGAACCCCACTGGTGGGGCCAGATAGGCTGTCAGAGACTGTCTGCTCTCAGATGGCCAACCCGGAAAACACCCTGCTCCCTCCCACCAACCTTACCAGGTGTGCCACGATGCTCATGGATAACTATCAGGTCGGTGACACCATTAGCTTTGCAGGCTCGCACCAGTGCCCCCACCTCATGTCGGCCACGGTTCATGCGCTGGGCACCAGGAAACACCAACTTCAGCTCCTGCACGTGTACACACACCAGTTAGGACTCAGGCCACTGGTACCTGAGCATCTTCCACTCCCTGCTTCTTTTGATACCTTTGCAAACATCTTGAGGCGTGAACTGGGGTCTCGGGAAGTCGTGATCATGACCTTGGGATCCTCAACCCCTGCCCATCGATATTCATCATCCACATGATTGGTCACACCTGTCAGATGCATGAGGGGCAAGAACATGAGATTATCTTGGGAAGTGAAATACTAACTTGGGAGTGGCAGAATCCATTCAGAGCTGCACCATCTGACAATATCTTCAGTGATAGGATGCTCCACACCCACACTGGGCAATAGGGTGGCACCAAACCATATTGGCTACAAGCACAAGTTTAATGCAGAACTGAATTTTCTAATTTGATTTAATTTCACTCATTTAAGCTGTATTAATCACACAGGGCTAATGGCTATTGTGTTAGCATAAGTACAGATTCTAATAAGACCAAAGGCAACAGACTCCTATTTCTCCTAACAAATGTTTACATCATTTGTGATTCCTTTCAGATGTGTTGAATAACACAATGAGTAAAACATTTGGGTGCCAATGAAGTGCTGAGAGCTTGGGAAATGGCAGTGAACATAATGGACACTATCCTGTCCCAGCAAAATTCACATTCCAGTGAGGGAGAACAAAGCAAAACAGAGAGTAAGTTGGGTGGTATCACATGTGTCTCTAATTGGAATTGGGAGCACTCAGGACGAGCTCCTCTGAGTAGCCATCAGTGCAGAACCATGAAGACTCTGGGGCACAGTTCCAGGAACATGAGTCGCAGAGCCTTTCCTCAAGGTATGTGAGGAAAGATATGGAGGCCAGTGGGCCCCAGTGTTGGGAAAGGTCACCTTCACCACCAGCGTCGTCAAACTCCAGGGAACCATGTAAGGCCAAAGCCTCCCTACGTAACTCCGTGGGGATCAGGCGGTTCTCTGCAGGGGAAAGACAGAGGGATAAGTGAGATATACAGATGAAGGTCTCAGTTAATACAACACTATGGCTTACAAACCTGATGGGAAAAATACCTTTCTTACTCCTTTCTGAGCAGAGATGATACTGGGGGGTGAGAGGTTGGGGACTATTTCTATCTACATGCTAACCTGTTAACAATAGTTATAGGAAACAATTTGCTACAGTTCCTGAGTCTCATGGCTTGAAGGTTTTTAGACTGCTCTTTCTGTATAAAGGTGGACCAGAAATCCTGAAACCCTCTGACAATAAAGCTGCTAATCATGATGCTTTAGGTCAGAAGTTTCCTCTGTGAACTAAAGCTTGACCTGGCATAGGGGCTGGGCTGTGGGAACATCCACCTTGGGAGTATAGAGCTATACATGACTGTGCCCCTGGAACCAGCACTTGTTAGTGTGCCCTGGTGGAATTCTTGCACATGGAAGATACTCACCTGAAGGAAATCTCCACTATACTCAACGGATTTTAGAAACAATGCTGAACAAAAACATAAAACTGCCAAAGAATACATATAACCTAATACTACCTTTAAAACTAAAAATCAACCAATATGATTTAGGGATACAAATAAGTACCATATAAGCACACACAAAAAAACCAAGGAAACAGTTTATTTTTAAACAATATTCAATACTGTGGTTACCTAAGTTGTGGAAAATATTCCTGAATTTCAATACAGGGGTGGACAAAACTAGGTTTATAGTTGCACTGTAACATTCTTTGAGTTAATAAAGCTATTGTAATAATAACCTGAATGTCTTTCCATACAAACAAATGTAAACCTACTTTTGCCAACCCATGTATACTGACCACTTTCCATTTCTTAAGATGGGTGGATAGATTACAGTTGTTTAACATTATGCTTAACATAAACATACACACACATAACCACACACACTGTGTGTA